CAAGAGTATTCTCACTTTTACTCTTCCGATTCTCTCCCTCATCCCACCAGGGGGGAGTGAACGAGCAGCTGGGTGGTGCTCAGTTGCCAACTGAGGTTGAACCACAACAAAAACACCAGCCAACCCAAAAAAAGAATATTGCATGAAAAATTGCTCACAGAGTTTTCTCATGGACTTTTCTGAATCCTGCCTGCTCCTGTTCTTCATGTCTAAATATTTAATGAATAGATGATTTCTGTGGAAGAACGGGAATATTTGAAAATCCTTTAACCTTAGTTAAGAAAAATAAGCAAAGAGGAGTGTTCTTTGGAATCATCCTATAGTAAACGCGAACAGACACACTAAAGGAAACACAGAATAAGAGCTGGATTTTCAAGGGAGTGTGAGGAACTGAGTTATCCCTTTCTCATAGAAATTCTAGCCCAGGAGGCCGAGAGCTGCCCAGAATTGTTCATGCACAGGATTAGATTTCACCTAAGAAAGAATTCTGGAGTGGGCACCGATAACTTGATTAATTCAAAGAGTTTAAGAGAATAGCAACTTTCCTCTGCCTCTGGGTCTCTACTTTCGCTTTTGTTTAATATTCTGTTTTTGTATTTCCCAGTAGCTCCACAGCACAATTTTAATCCTAGGATAGCTATTGCCAGGTTATTTATTATTTATGCCTTATATTCATTAAGAGCTTGGTTTAGTTCTCCTAGGAATTTCTTTCCTTTGTGCTTGTGCCCTTGCTTCTAGCCAGGCTTTCCAGGACAAAAACATTATACAGTGAGATCACATTTTTAAAAGTACTTCACGATGACAATGCAGAAAATAGTTCGGATGTTCTGATGCAAGGATATACGGTGCCTCACTCATCGTTTTCTGTGGTTATAACCTAATTGCCTTATTTTCAAGAAGCTGGCTGGCTGTGAAGTTGCAACTTATTTTCAAGCTCTCTTTCTACTTCCGTGACAAAAATGCAAACCACATGGAAACACAATTTGCTGTGTAACAGTTCAGAAAGGCCCTTGGATCATGCATCACTTGGGCTTGTACCCCTCAGAGAGATAAGCAAGGTGGCATTGGCAGATTGCCTGGCAGTCAGAAATAGGTATTTTCCACACTGCGCCCTTCTGGACAGTCTTGTTGCTCTTGTGCCTAGTTTACATTACTGATTGCGACAAGAGTTTTATTTCTGTGTAGTTCAAAACCTCTTAAAGAGCTCCACGGCAGTGTGCACGAGCCCAGTTTTATGAAATCAGCCATCTTATTTTCAAGCATAGCGTACGTTCTATTTCCATCAGTAAGCCCAACTTAATGCATAGAAAGAAAAAAAAAAAGCATTTTCCTATCACGTTGTTGCACATAGTAGAAAGGAAATGAGTTTTAAAGAAGACTTTTAATTGACTCTAAAATAAGCAGAGTGGAGGGAAATACAATTAACCCTAGGAAGCTGTTAAATAGACTTTTGTTTTCCTAATTCTAAAGCTGACTTTTAAACTTTATGAATTTTTGTTTGACAGTAGAAAACAACTCTGAGAGGTTAACTTGGAAAGGGTAAATTTCCCTGAATTCAAAGCAGCGTTGAAGCTTATCAAATTTCCCAGTTTCTGCTCTTTGTTTTCTCACAATTCCACTTTTCATTCCTCAATCTTTCTTTCAGAAAATAAATGCAGGAACGCCATCATCAATAATATTTTGTGAAAGAAAAAAAATTTGGGGGGTAGCCTTTGGCAGATATTCAAAACCATGTTTACATGTATAGTCTACAGTAACTGTTTCATCACGTCACTGTTAGGAAACAAGATACTGCTGAATCTCCTACAGAAAACAAATGCAAATTTTCAAGTAGCAATGAAAAGAATTTCTGAAGTCAGAAACAAGTGAGAAATTCAGGGTGCTTAGTGATTTCATTTCAGAAATAACATTTTTGGTCATTTGTGGGAAGAGGATATAAAGAAGTGCAGATGCTTATATGCGTGTGTACTTTCATATACATTGGTAACAGGCACTAAAACCTGAATAGAAATGTGTGCGATGATCATCTGGTGGATGGAATCAGCCCTACTTACACTACCTCGGCTGAAAAAATCTCTGGCTGCTGCCCTACGAACAAAATACTGGTTTTGATGCTACTGATTCTTGCAATGATAGTTTCTTTAGCTCAAGGAGCGTGGCAGGAGCTCAAATCTTAGAGGAAGATCACTTTCATGTGGAACGCTAATACTGCTATTTTATTTTCACTACACTTGACAAACATTAACTAGTCCTCAAAACGCTACCATGAAGGAGGTAAATATCAATAGTCTCATCTCGCATTCAGACAGAGACATGTTAAATGCCTTGCCCAAGGCCATGCAGCAAGTCAGTAGCAGAGCAGGGATGGGAACTAAGGGATTTCATAGTGGAACACGTGCTACTCTTATAACTGATGATTGTGGGGTTTGTCTAGGTACTTGATCATGGGTTGTTGTTGCTTTGAGGTCAAAGGCACAAGACATCTTCATTTTTAAGAAAACACTTTTTAAAAAAAAAAAAAGGTTGCACATGCCAGTTCATAGCAGCAACAGCAATTATGTCGTGTTTCTAACTGCTGGTTTTTAATAGACATCAGTAAAATGCTATTTAGTTTGTTACTAAAGGTTAAGCCTTTGCCTTGTTCTTTCTCATGCTAGAGGCATCAAGATGCCACACAGTGAAGCCAGCTGACAAAACAGCAATGGCGAGATTTCTAGCAGATGACACAAAAAGGAAGTTGTTGACAGTACCATAGGGCTGTAACTCAGCTGACTTCAAGGGTCAGTAAAACGTTCAGATATAAAAGTTGTATTAGAAGGACATTGTCAATTTAACTGCAGCCCAAATGTAAAAGTGTAAGAAACAAACTTTCACAAAATTTTAAAATTTCTAATGAAAGCAGATAAATACTTTCTCCTGCAGATTCTGAAACACAAGTACTGCAGTACCATAAAACTGATCCGACTGATCTCAAATACCCATTCTGAGAAAAAAATTAATATACAGAACATATAGTAAATTATGCCAGCTTTTTTCCCCTCTTTTAGTAACTGAAATTGTCATAGGAAAATAGATAAATATATTTGTTTATGAACTGATAGTATTTTCTTAAAGAATCATGATGATACATCCTGCTATTTTGCACATTACCTTTCCAAATATACTCAGTCTCTTCGGATCAATGAAGGGCTGTTTCAATAGTGATCTGCAAGAAAAAAAGGGGCTTTTCTTACTTTCATAAAGTAAAATGGTGAATTTTACTTCTTGAATCTAGTATGTAAAGAAGATTATCTGTACAGTAAGGAATTGTGGTACATGCGGATCAGGTAGAAGAACAAATTACACCAATAAAAGTATTATTGCACTGGAAAATGTGATTTGCTTTCTAATTCCTCCTCTATATGGCAAACAGTTGGTGTTGGACTCATCTCACCTAACTTTAGGTATCTGAATTTGAGCATCTTGTCTAAATTGCCCATTTACATCTGCTCTTCAGTTAGAGAAGAGAGAGAAGAGAGAGACCCTCAAACAGCCATTCTTTCCACCCATATTGGAAACCTCTCTCAGTCTGGGGAGAATCACCCTCCAGAAATGCCAGGATTTTCCACTGACCAGAGCTTAACTGACGGGCTTTGATCAGGTGCCTAGTTTTTAGACAGCTAAAGGAAGGTAAGATGAATGCAACTTCTTGAGTCTAGATAATTATCCAAATAATTAATTCTCTCATCAAGGGCATTAATCAGCAATGGTGAATTTTATACAGAAAAGACAGAATAACCTGAGGGCAAAATCCAACTGCTTTTGAGGAGAAGAAACCAGTTGCAGTACCTCTTCTCAGCCAAGGGCACCCTCCCTTTTTCCCACACGCTGCATCCAAAAAGAGGCCAGATGTAATTTAGCCTAAAACATCTTAGTATTTCAGCAGAGAGCTCATATCTCACAGCACAGCGTATGGCCTGCTTCTGATGGCCCTTTCGCAAGGGTCACCTGCATGCATGCAAAATCAATTGCTCTGCTCAACACAGCCCATTCCTGACCAACATGAACACTAGGAGCCCTATTGCCCAGGTATGTCATGCCAGAGACAGATGCCTACTCATGCAATGGTTGAAGTATCAACCCCTTTCAAAAGAAGAAAAAAAAAAGTCTGGCTTAAAATCTGTTTTTCCTTGAGAATCCCTAGAAAAAGTCCATCCAGACCTTGATATTAGCCATTTTGACATGTGTACCCTTAGTAAAGAGTGTTGTCAAAGCCAGGTGGGAGTACTCCACAGAGGGAAATGACTCTTTCTGCAGCTGGTGGATTTCTATCGGTCTAAGAATGATAATGCAAATGAGAAATAACAAGCACTTGCCCAAATTTTGCTCTCATTTACACCATTACAACTCCATTTGCTTTGTACGATTACTCCAGAACTCTGTGGTGGAAATGAGAGCAGCATCTTATTGTATAGGCCTAAAAAACTGTAACATAAATGCATTAACATGTGCGCTGCAAGGAATTTTCCTAAGGAATATAGACAAATACGAATTAGCTCAGATGGCATATTTAGATTGCACACAGAAGGACAGCTTTATCAAAGAGAAGCACCAACACAAAAAGTAAACACCTCTTTGACCTTTAATTTGCTGTTTGCAATGAAAAGATTATTGTTTCAAAAGTTGCAACTGCATTAAAAATAAACATTAATGGTATTCACTATGCAAAGAAAACATTCTGGGCAGTTTCAGTTAAAAATGCTCGTTCATCAAGGTGGAAGCAGGGCAAGAGAGAAGAAAAGTTTGCACATACGTACTCTACGGCTGCTATTTGGTCCTTCACTTCCACTGATCCTAAGCATCGGTGGACCTCCTGTAGAATCTTAAGGCCTTGAAATCCACTCCCTCTGCCATCAAATCGAGCTACGATGACATTATCAGAGTTGACAAGCACTGAGTCCCAGTCAATGTGAAACTTATCTGTAACCAACTGGCTGCCTGGAGCTTCATCACTGCAAATACCAACACACCAGACACAAACGAAGACTATATTGACAATGTGATGCACTTTGCCGTTCTCCGATATTTTATTTAACCTAGATGGCAGAGTTCAGTCAGTTATGCAATCCTGTTGAATTATTGTCACTTCCATCAATACCATCACATTAGCTAGTGCTGGTATCCCTGCAGTAGTAGTAAGCAAAATAATTTCTTTAACTTTATAACCACTATGTTACAGTGTTGCCAATACTTGAACAGTCTTTACAGAAAGAAACAGAAAACTAAAACATGTAGTGCTGCTTACAGGTTAATAAAGTGAACAAAAAAACCCCAAACCATAATCACTAACGGCTGGCTCAGTTCTGAGAAGGCTCACGTAGAAGTTAAGTCACACTAAACAGGCAAAAAGGAAAATTCATTCAGTACCCTGATTATGATTTTGTAGGATATGTAATACTATTAAGAAGGATGTAATCTTAGAAAACAAAAATAATTGCATTATTGTATCCTTGAATGTATTCTTTGAAATAGGGTACAAAAAAGACTAAAGTACACATTGGGGAAAATTATATTTTCTCCATCCAAATTCATAGCAAGAAATGGATGCAGGCAGGAGTGATAAGTTTATTTTATGACAAAAAAAAAAGGTGGTTTACAGCAGAAGAGGTGGAATAGAATGGGAGAATGCAGTTTCTATAGGAACAATAAGCATTTTCCATTGAAGCCAAATATACTGTTTTCTTTCCAAAGAAACGAAAATGTCAGTTTTAAAAAGGAAGCTTGTCATTATTTTTCCCCCCAAGATAAACACAGAATAAGAGAGCAGGCTCCCATGAAGTTGTACAAAATGCAAAATATACTTCTATACAGGCTGCATCTGCCAGTTGAATGCAAATTAAAATATAAAAGGGACTGTGCTGGCTGTATGGAAATTAGATCGGACAGTGTCTGTGGGAATATCCCATCTAAGGTGAAAGAAAGATGAAGACAGAAATTATTATTTTGCCAAAGCTATCTATATAAATCTGAGGGGAGGAAAGAGAGACAAAAATCTCCTACAATAACTACTGTCTTATATGTACAATAATGGCTGATTCAATATCTGGTTTTGGCTGTGGATAACATAGACCATCTTCAAGGTAATCGCTCTATTAATTAGCAAGCATATGATGAATACATATGTTCTCAAATTCAGTCAGACCTACCTACATAGTTGCTATATCATGCACTGAAATCAGGATTACTTGGTTGTAGACTCAGTCACAGTTTATGCTTGATTCACCGTTATCTTGTGCATCAAGTTTATACTTGGCTTTATAAAAAGAAAGGAAGGGCATTTTTTTGTTTGCTTAACCAATTCAGTTGTGATTACACTAACTGCTAACAATGCAGGGCAATGAATTTGGAAATACTGATTGTCAAGTGAACTCTGCAGAAAACACATTTCAGAAGTGTATTATCATTATTATTTACAATAAGAGCAGGAGCAGAACAATTCTTTCAAGTTATGATTATTGTACAGAGCAAGGTTTTCAGAAGCATTCTACATTGACATAGATGTTTTCACAGAGCTTTTACCACTACTTCCAATAGTAGCAGCCTCAGACCAGTTATAATTTTTTTTTTTTAAGTTCTTCCAACTTTCCACAATAAGATAGTATGTCAGAAATGTCCTTGTCTGGCTAGGTACCTTTCCAACAGTTTAATGCACGCCACACAAGTGAAAATATCATGAGTCAGCCTGCTTCCCTCCCACCTAATATAAGAACAAAACAAATACAATGTTCACATTTGTTTTATACACGTTATATATCTAGGTTATATATGCATGTATGCATATATATATACATGTTATATATCTAGACACTTGGGAATAGGGGAAGAACCATTACATTTGTAAGCCTTTCTCTATACCAGTGCTTAAAACCGAACAAGTTTTTAAATGAAAGATGATACTCTCAGATAATTTCTTCTATTAAGAAAGGAACAACAGACAGAACCTCAGCAAGATTCTCAGTGGGCGAGAACTGGAGGGCATAGATGGGCTACTTTTAGGCTCAGACTTTAAATGCTATACATCTTCCACTCCTGCATGATGGGTTGTTTGATGTATTGCTTTTGGAAGCAATATTCCAGTGGCTAATTTATTTCAAGAATTCCATATTAGTAGTCTGTGACAGGCATTTAAAGCCATTTCCATTGAGGTACATGACAAAATTCCCATCAGCATCAAAAGGTCTCTTTACTCTTCAGCTGCTACTATAAAATGATACTGATTATCTGAGGTGTGCTTCTGTCCTCCACAGAGAGACAGCATATATTCCATGCACCACTTAGGCCCCACTTTTAACCTTTTAAATGGGGCTTCTGCAAGGTGTTAATCCTTTATGCAAGTTTGAACATCACCCTGAGGGCTCTGTAACAGAGCAAGTTTGTTACTACAGTGCAATAATAGATGCACAGCCTGATTTGTGAAGTTTGTCCTGGGATTACAGCTATCTCAAAGGTCAGTTTCTGTTTTATGCTCATCACTACTTACAGCCTAATTATAATTAACTACTGTTCAGTGGTACTCTCTTCATAGAATCACTTCTTGACCCCACTAGTAAGCCTGGAAGAAAGTCCGTGCCATTTACGCTTGGGTGTAATATGAACGCAGAAATCTTCTTCCCACCTGACTATGGATGGCCATAAGGTAACCATGGACTAGCCAAAGCACTACAGCAAAATTGAAGCCAACACCAAAAGGGCTACGCGAAGCTACAAGCTCTTCAACATCCCTTAAGGGTTCCTTAAGGAGCATCATCTCCGGAGTCAAACAAGAGCAGAATGATTCAAATGAAGACTATGCCTAATTCTTCCTGATTAATTTTTTTTTCCCTTGTAAGTGACAGCGCTTGCACTTTGCCTTCTTTATTTTTATTCCTAACTTTCAATGTTCAGAGCTGCCTAGTGTGTGTCTTCGACAGTGACTACACTCGGATTATGAGTCTACCATGGCAGCGCAACTGCTGACGACTTGGGCATACTGCTGAAGTTCACCATTGAGGTACCATTTAAATAGACAGAAGCCATCAATAATATACCAATATCATTGACCTTAGTGGGTAATTTGTATGCTTTTTGCAAGGCAGTCACGTACGTCTCAGACTGTCTGGAAAAAGTGGCAGCTCACCGTAAGTTCATATATTGCTGAGAAGAGAAGAATCTGTTCTTTCAGATTCTATAACTAAAAGCTTAAACTAAAGCGTCTGTTCCTGACTTGAGTTACAGCCTACAAGGAATAATATAGTGTCACCAGGGAGGCTTTTGCTGCTGTACTCTGAGCAATACTCCTCTGCCACTCTGCTATCATGACTGCAGCAAAATTTGTTCCAGGTTTTGCACCATTTAAAAACTAAGAGGCAAGCTTTTAAATAGGAATTTCAGAAGCTACAGGCCTGACCAAGCAGGGGGGAAACAATTTTGAAAGATACATGGCAAGTAACTGCTATCCTCACTGTTTAATTTCCAGTACATCTCTTTCTATTTCTGCAAAACAGTGGATTTGATGCAGCATATGGAAAAGGTATCTTGATAGCAAATATGTGAGAAAGACTACAACTCAGAAGATAAAAGCTATGCAAAGAAATATCACTCATAAAAGTCATCTTTTGCTTATGGTGAAACTGAGTGGGGAAAGAAGACCATGTTGCAAAACTGGTGTAATAGAAAAATCCACTTCATTTTCAGATTTCATGAGCATCTCTTTCACAAGCATCAGCTTTCAAGCACACCCATCATTACTGGTCAAAAATCAGGGAACCTGAGTAGCCTCCAACACTGAGGACAGAAAATCCCAAAGGGTTCATATACCCTGTTTAGATATAACAGACTGCAACTAAAAACAGATAGTGTGTTTACAACTCCTCCCTGCAGATATGGCCAAACAAATTAAAACACATCACCAGAAGTGATTCCATTACTAGGGTAGAATCATGTGATAGACAGGACTGAAGTAGACAGCACAGTACAAAAAATAAAATTGTTATTCTTAAAATATCTTTCTGAAACCCTTGAGGCTTTGGAAAATGCAATTTTGAGAACAAGAGATGCAATGCTGTCCTGTGTCATCAGAAAAGGAGGTGACGTTTTGAATCTCCTCTTGTCTTTTTCTAAGGAAGATTAAATAAGCATTTTATTCACATAGTAAGATATATACTGCTGTGGGAGAAGTGGGAGTAGGGGAGGCTGAAAGAGGATGGATCCTAGCTCAACGATTCCCCAAGCCTTTTTTGGGGACAAGACTGAACAGAAAGGGAGTGAGCAGATCCATCGCTGCCCGTAGCACCAGGACAGCTACTGCAAATGAAACAGCTGGAGTGAGCCTCCAGTCTATCCCCTCTTTTAGCCTGAACTAAATGAATTCTCCCTCTAGGCCTTGACAAATATTACAAAGTTCAAAGAATGGGGAATAAAATCTACAACAGTGAAAAAGAAAAGACTCTCCATCAAATACTTTGATGTAACAGAAACACAATAGAGGAGTAAAACACTGCCACACTTGGCACAGCCAGGATGAATACAGGCATGAAATGGATGGCTTGCAAAGCAATTAGTGAATCATTCACATGACTTAGGGATCCCCAGAAAAGTAAACTTTGCAGCTGTTTTACAGAGGAAGAACTGGCCAAACAAAAAGGCCTTCAGGGATGTTCCCCTTGCAAGTATATTGCAATCAAAGTAGTGGAATCCACCAGATATTTTTACACTTCACCATGTAGCCAAGCATCGTTCCTTCACTTGCAACAGCTGCCAGTTAAAATGAGTAATATCCTTTACAACAAATGAAAGGTATGCAAGACAGCTGTTAATACGCAAAGTGTTACCATACCTCAGATCTCAAATATTTCCCAACACTTGCATTACGCCTCTCTACATTTCTTCTAGTCTTTTAACGAGTTATTCCTGAAGCTGTAAAAAAACTCTTCACTTCCAACCTCACTGTCTTATGTTGCTATCAGTCCCGAGAGTGTATTAACTGGAGGCATAAACAGGTTTGATTGCCTGTGCAAGGCCTAAAACTTTCATCATTTCAATAACAGGTGAAGTGATTCCTGTTTATTACCAAAATATAAGAAAACAAGTAAACAAACAAACAAACAGAAACCCCTTGGTGACAATTCACTGTTACTTTGGAGAATACCTGTTGGCTTTTTTCCCCCTCAAAGATCAGAACAATCTCTCCACTGATGCAGTTTTACAATATCCACTTACATATTGGACAATTTTAAATGGTGTTAAATAATAAATGCTGACATTTAAGATACATTATCTACAGATTTTGAAGGAATGAGGTTAATTATGTTCGAGAAAAAATAAAGAATGATTATCACCTCTCATTTTATTATCCAGACTAAATGCCAGAGTCTTTACTTAATCATTTCCTGTGTGTTACCAAGGAGTGTATCTTCCAACTTTTTTAATGAGTAAGGTGAACCATAATGAGAAAATCAAGAATCTGAAATTTAAACTTTGATCTTAATTATATAGAAAAGAGATGATAATCACTCTTTCAGGCAATTACTGTACACCTCTCTAATCTATAGCTGCACTGTATGTATTATATCAGAAGGAAACTAAGTGTGAAATCTATTAGTGTTTTAGGAGAACAAATGGAAGAAAGGAGAGTGTTATAACCTATTTAGCATTTTATGGCCTACACATCACAATTCTGGAAAGAAAAATAGTGCTAGCTGACATAACTGGTTTCTACATGAGACCTATCTGTTAGATAGTCCAGCCATACAGATGGACATAAATTTTAACATAGTAATACAATGATCTTCTATTTGAATGTTGCAGCATGCTTTGCAACTGCTAATGGATGAATCTTCACAAAATCCTTATGATGAAGGTTACAGGATATTCAGGGCCTGGTCCTTTAGTCGAGCTTGTGTCTACATGGAGCTGTACTGAGTTCACACCCAGGTTTCACACCAGGACCAGAATCCACTGGTCCAGGCTCCCTTCCAGGATTCAGCCTTAATGCTCAGACACCTGGGTGCCACGTGCTGGAAGTTCAAATTTATCTGCAGGCATCCTTGCATGAATACAGGAGCCTTATTATAGTCATGCACCTTTGAAATGGCTACTAGCTTCCAGTGATTTGAAAAAAAATTACCAAATAATACCAAACTTTCTCCCCTATATCTATTTCCAAATTCTGTTATCGTAATCGTAACCCTATTGATCCAGAGAGCACATTAACACCACACAGAAGCAGTCGCTGCTGACAAAAATTTACAGTAAAATTATGAACCTCAGCCATCAAAAAAACACTTTATTCTGAGCCAGCGAAACCAGCCACCAGCACAAAAATTCTGCAGACAGAGACGAGACCACACAGGCAAACCAGATCCTGGCAAAATGTAAGACACAGGGAAGATGAATCTTCACCAGGGGCTTGGAGTGACTCTGAAGCAATCACTGCAGCCAAACAGCCAGCCTGTTAGATCTTATATGCCATATTTACCCTCCAGCTTAGGGGACAAAGCCTATATGCACTTAGAAGCTTATATGCACTTAACTAGGCATTTAATTTGCACTGCAGAGACATATTAGGTGAATTTCAGGTTTAAACTCACATTCTCTTTTCCTCACCTTCATTCCTTCCTCCCTTCCCTCCCTCTCTTTTTCTTAAGTCCTGTCAAACGGCAGTACTACTGAGATGGAAAGCAAAAGTCACTTCATATCTGCTAATACTTCACTTTTCCAGATATATATCTGCTCTTTATATACATCTAAGTGTATGTTGCCTGGATCAAGATGTTATATAGAATCTCCTTTCCAAAAAATGGATATACAATTAAACCAACATTCTTACCAAGGACACTGGTAAGCATTCTTTTTCAAACTTTCAATAGGTGGAATATAATGATAATTGTATCATGGCTGAGAATGTAAGCAAGAAAGTAGGTGCAGCTGAACAATATGAAAGGCAGTGATTGTTATCAGCCACTAATACAAGTCCTGTCTAACACTCCTAGCAGTAGGAACATGGTGTTTCTCAATCAGTCCCAAAAGTACTGCTCTGGGACTCAGGAAAGTCAAATATCTGCAAAATGATACTAGATATACAATTAATCACTGTTTCCTGTAAAAGCTACATGTTCTTCTTGGACCTGAATACTTCTTTTTTTTTTGCAAGTAGTACTTCTGATAATGAAATAAACCTTAAGATGCCAATTTGGAGTTGTATGCGTCAACAAATAACCCTCCGCATGCACAGATTTCCAATCGTTCTTTCTCAAGAGCTAGTCAGAATTTATTAGGCTCAAATAATCATTCCACAAGGGAACCTCCCATAACGTCAGTGACAGTTTTCAGTTTTATATCTCATTTGGGGACATCTTTAACTCAAAAAAGGATTGCTGGCAACCTTAGTTTAAAGTCTGTAAAAAGCTGCTGAAGAAATACAACTTCCTCCTCTTCTAGGGAAAAGGGGGACACCACACACGCAACTTTACATGAGCCAGGACAGATTTCAAATTTTCCGTTTCATACTTTCATTAGTGTACAGGGTTTTCTAAAAATAACTCCTGTTGCTAACATTGAGAATTCAGTATTGCAAAGGTAAAGATTTGACTAAAAAGCAGCAAAGTCTCCATATTATAAATGTAGATACCACAACCTGTATTCATAAGTGGATGAATTTCCTTTTTATCCCACATGCACATCATAAAAAAGTAAAACAATTATAAAAAATGTTATGACTTGGCCACATTATTTACTCACTGGGTACTGACAACTTTGGTAAGTTTAAATTCAGGCCTTGCCTCAATAATGTTCTCAGTTATTTCAACTCTTGATATCTAAAAACATTTCATAATAGTATTTCCTTAGCTTTTTTTTCCTTTTCCTGTCATTTTTGGCCTCGGCCTTCTCCAGGTTTCTGATCCTTCCCATGTTATGACTTGGCCACATTATTTACTCACTGGGTACTGACAACTTTGGTAAGTTTAAATTCAGGCCTTGCCTCAATAATGTTCTCAGTTATTTCAACTCTTGATATCTAAAAACATTTCATAATAGTATTTCCTTAGCTTTTTTTTCCTTTTCCTGTCATTTTTGGCCTCGGCCTTCTCCAGGTTTCTGATCCTTCCCTCCTGTCTTCTCTATGTTCTAAATAAGTATATAACCTCATATTCTACCATAACTGTATATAGCAGATTATGTATTTACTAGGATACTTAAAAAGGAAAGCGTTACAGTGCTAACACCTTAGTGTTTCCTCACTCTCAGAAAAAAGAGTAAGTGCAAGCGTTTGCAACTCCTTGTAATGCTGCTGGTGTCAATTCACAGAGTCAGTTTGCCTTTGGCACACTTAAAAGAGCTGCTTAAAATAGAATCATGCTTCAAGATCATGCTAGCAAATACTGCAAAAATAAAATAACCCATGTGTTCTGTTTCTCCACAAGAAAAGAAAAATGTGTTCATGAGCCACTTAAAGCAGAACTTTCCACTATCCACAACTGCAGATAAATACAACTGAAAAACCTGAGTTTTAAACACAAACTGGACTTAGAAATAAGCAGTTTTATGCCTCTCTGTCCTATTATCTAAGATCTGATCTGAGTAGAGGAACTTGGGATTACTCAGCAGCTCAAGCTTGTAAATTTGACCTCACGTACAACAATAAGGATCTCTGCTGTCACTAAGGGGAGGTCTACTCCAGGTGATACAGCTCAACTAACAGGGTATTTTCATGAAATTATCAGTGCACTCCTACGTCTGTGTTAGTGAAATTCACATCAGTTCCTTCCAAATGGAACTGGAAGATGATCTGTAGGTACGGGAAAGCTCTCTGCACCCACGGCAGACCCATGCTGAGCTCAGGTGGGGAGCAACGAATGATGCCCTGAGCTGGCCGTCATCAGTTTTCCTAGGTAGGCTGCAGGTACACTCATGACTGCTCTCTTCCTCTGCTATACATTCTGTAGACGTGCAACTTAAAGGCTGACTGCCTCTGAAAGAAATACACACACTATTTCTTTCTAAAAGAACAGCGCAGGTTGCCAGGGAGTACCTCCTTCCTCCCATAGAGATTTTCTACAAACATCAACAGACTTTGGATCACGCCTACAATCCCTTCAGCCATTGATGCTGAAAAATAATTTTTTCTTCTTTCCAATGTTCCTAAAAGCAGTTTTGCTTTATGCATCTTAGCTGAGCCCCTCTTAGAAGCTCTACCCGTTTCTATCAGGGATAAAAAGGGGAAAAAAAAGGAGCACATGCTCTGAATGGGATCCTCTGTGGGTAGGGATCAGTAAGGCTCCAGGAAAGACTGCAGAATTACTCACAGCTACACCATCAGAAGGGCCAGTGCCTCACGTACATAAAAGTACAACGAAGCAGAGCTAGGTTTGAAAAGCTCAAAAAACCCCAGGCATCTCTACCAGATAGCACCTGTAACAAAATCTTCCCGAAAACAATTGATTTATCAACTCAAATCCATGAGGCAATTTTCCTACACAAGGTAAAAAAACATTTTCTAATTACAGAGTTAAATGTTTTCTATGAAGTACTTTTTTATTATTTTGAGTGATTCTACACAGATACTTACGTTACTAATAGAAGGGCATACTGGTTTCGATCCGTGAAATCTTTCGGCAGTGACAACTGTAAAGAAAGTTCTTTTAAGAAAAGAGCAAAACATTAAAGGCTGGTAGTTACACAGATGAAAAACAGTAACTTTGCAAGAAAGATTTTGGTTTGTTAAAATAACATTTTGCCAAATTTACCGTAATCCTCAATGTGAAGCATTTTAATTTCAGTCCTGGAATTCTTTTTCTTAAAAATAGCTTCTTTCAACACAGCATTATTTTCCAAAATATAAAACTCTGTAGAAAACAGGAAGAAAAAGCAAGTTGAACGGTACGGAGAATCATCACATCAGAGATAAATCAAGATTCAAAAAAGTTAAAGAAAAAGGGACAAATGTGCAATGATAAATCTTGTAAATGAAGTCCTTCTGTAAATACTTTTTTTAATAATGCAACTGCTTTGCAATTCAGGAACTGAGCAATCAGCTTAATTCAAAACATATACATCTATTCCATTTTCTGGCTTCAGTAGGCTTTTTTTTCGTTAAGCACTAACAATAAAATTGCTGATGAACAACATGAATACTAGTATCCCTGACAAAGACTAACAGCAGCTGTTACAGGGAAAGGTTAGTCTGCTGGGCAATATCCTAAGCCTCAAGCAGGCATCCTTTTCAAGCTACATATTCCAAGTCAATATTTAGCCAGCACAGCTCTACTTGATCACTTCACGTCCTTCTCTGTCTTCTGTACTTCAACCAGGAGCAAGACTTCAGTTTGGTTTAAAGCTGCAGACAGATTTGAAGCAATCCTTTTGCACACGAAAGAATGATTAGTTAGTTCTTCTTTTTTTCTTTTCTTTTTTACTCAAATTACCAATCTTGCTTCCAAAACATAGATTTATTTTTTTTTTTATTAAACAATAAAACCTCCACTTAGGGCCAAAATGGATAATCTAAGGAGAATGTTTGTTCTGGGCAGTCAACCAAAATGGTATAATTACAATCTGAGGATGGAATAATTGAAGTAATCCTTAAACATTCTTTTATGAATTGAAGAGGATAATCTAATGTTGCACTGAAACATTAATGGTATATTATCATCTCTCTTATTATTTTATTTCTTGTTCTTACCACAAACAACTCCCTCTATCCTGACTTGCTTTGTTCTCCTCTAAGATGCTATACATAAATCTCTTTTACAATAATTCATTATCAACAGTATTTTAGATACAAGTAATAAAGAGCGAAAGTCTACCTTCACAGAATTGTGCAGCTCTACAGAAGTCAATGAATTTACTTTGAGCAGTAATAGCTACCCCTTACGGAGCTGGATAAAACTCCCTCCCCTTGGTGTGCTATGGCACTCAGCTTTGCAAATACTATCAACAGTGACATTAACAAAAAAAAAAACACCACACAAAAAAAGAGGAAGCCAAAGTGCAGCCATTAATTAACACTTGACAGCATGATACTATTGATCAGTGTGCTACTTCAACATGCAATGTTAGGCCCGCTGTTATGGCTTAATAGTGGCTGGCCCGTGACAAAAGGAATGCAGACAAGTACAGTTCAGGACTTTTGGATTCTGGGAAAAATTCTGGGGATAATCTATTGAATGAAATTAGAATAGGTAAGGATTGGTTTAGTAGTTTGAATGGAAAGATGTCCCCTTTCCTCTAAGCCACACCTTCATGCTATGTGGAGGCACAGTGGAGTTGGAGGTAGCAGAGTTGTTACCTCTACTGTATCAGAGAAACACCTAAGTGAGGAAAATTCTGCCATTCTGTCTTCCATTACAAAGCACCTCAAGCAGCCAGGAAACAGCAACAGATTTGTTGTCAATATACAGAAACAATGAGTAAAACTTGAAAATTAGAGGTCCTGAATACCATCCTAAAAAGCCTTTATTCTTGGATTTGCCATCATTGAAAATGTCAGTGGAGTTGCTCTCATTTGAGAAACGTAAGAGAAGGACTAAGGTCATCGTATGTAGGTCAGATTTTATGATCAATTGTCCAAAGACTGTACCTTACTTCAAGATAATTGGATTGTAACTTTAAAAACATCTCTAAAAATACAGAAGGTGTATTGTAATGGCAGCATCATTTACATAGAAAGTAAAATGGATGAAGACCAACCTGCCATCTAATTAACTCAAGTGTAAATAGAAGATGAATGATATGCACTTAGCATAAAATGTATCTGAAAAGCCTGGGCAAGTTTTGGTCATTTGATTAACTTCTTCCTTTATCATTTGCAGATGTGGATGTTGCTAAAAGGTAATTAATAGAACTTTATATGAATGAGCCATCTATTAGTTTTCATCTACTTGTAACTGCCTTTCCCCTCCCCCACGCTCCCCAGAACAATCGAGGCCGATAATAAAATATACCTATTCCATAAGGAATACTCACTTGCAGTATTACTTGTACTGTGCACGCTAACAACTGGAACGCCTGGCCCTGTTTTGAGAGAAGAAAAATAGAGGAAGTGTAGGGTAGTTAGTACTCAGTATTTCAGTCAGTAACAAAGAATGAGAACACCAGTGACCACGTACGGCCAGATCCTGGAAGCCCCCCCCACATGCTTCCCTTCAAACACAGCAGTAACTCCACTGGTGTCTCTTGGGAAGGACACAGGATAGACTACCGTACCAACAAAGTGTGAAACGGAGACCGCCTTCTGCCTGTTCAGCAAGCAGTCTAGACCCTTGCACCTAGAAGGAGCTTTTTTTTTTTAATCTCCATGTTATAGCTAGAAGTGAAGAATAAAAAAATTACAGAGGCACTTAACGGCACTGTCTAAAATATAGCAGTTTGACATTCAGAAGCAGTAACTTTAGGTTGACTGGGAAGTGAATTAATGATAATATTCACATATGTTTTCTATGGAAAAGCTACAGAGGTATTGAAAAATTATCACATATTTCACTTCCTTATCTGTTTAAGAAGCTCCTTTGGTACCTCAGCTCTGGAAGACCAAGAGCATCACGGTTAAATCTAGGTGTAATGTAATCTAATCTTACTTCATGGTAATGTCAGATGCTATATTTTTACTGTACCACTGAGAAACTAAAAGCGCCAAGAATAATTCTCCACATTAGTAAGTACTGTGCAAATGCACGAGATGGCATGTGAAACTGGGGTGACCAGACATTCAGCATACTCAGAAGTATAGCTGAGATCACTCTCCCTGCTCTGAGGACTCCCACCAGTGTAAACTTGTGCGAGAAAATAATGTGCCCTCACCCCCAACACGGACTTTGTACACGGGAAACTTGGTTTTATCTCGGTGAGACGAGAGTTTGAATTACATGCAGACAGTCACTATTGGGCTAGGAAGGATGATGCAGAAAAGCTGAAGTCTCTGAGGACTCCATGGCAGATGAAGGCACAGACCCTCTGAAATTAAGAGTTCAGACTCCTCTTTTTTGGAGGAAAAAAGATTCCCTTTGAGAGCAGTTCAGAGACAGAGCTTAATTTATGTGTTTTGAGTCATCCTGAGGAGGTTGTCTCTCTCAATTAATTATGGCATCAGCCTAGGGAAACTTAAATACCTGAAATAAATAGCATGATGCCATTCACAGCCTCTGACAGCCTCCACTGAAGATTTTTATCAGTTTCATTCTCTGCCTCAAGGGAGACTATAGACAAAAAACTTACAGGTAGATTGCTGACAAATCAAAGCTTTCTGCCTTAGCTCTTCAAAAGATAATTTCTTCAGCTGTCTCTTTTTCTTTGTTTTGTTTTGTTTTTCCAGCTCTTTTTACTTCTGAATTTGTCATTTTGCTTTCAATTCCAATTTAAGAAAGACAGTTTTTGGAGGTGAAAGCATTGGCATTTTCCAGGCCAGCTCTATTTGTCGTACTAAAAGATGGAAGGATGATGACAGATTTTGAAAAAGGGCGATTACAGTAGATTAAAAAGCCGATCAGAAAAGAGAAAGACAGACTTGTGTTACAGGCATTGTGTTACAGCTCATCAGAACTAAGCACAGCACTTGGATTTCCCATTGACCTCCTATAACTAACACTAAATCCACAACTTATTTCCTGCTGTATAAAATGGGAAAAACAATTACTCCCTTTGTGTAGTATCTTATTTGAGTGGAGCGATTAACATCTGTTAGTGTTTATGAAGTGCTAAAGGAAAAATCCACAAGCAGTGTGGAAAATAAGCGTAAAGGACGTGTTTGCCAAAACTGAGAGGCTGTAGAGCCAGTCCTCCATCTACCAGGCTAGAAATAACTCTTCACTCAGGAGAGTCTCTGGAGATGGATACAGCTGGTACACTGAGACAGATCTCCTGGCTGAGGGTAACTAATAAGGAAAAACTATCCTAATAAAGGCGCTCACGGGTAAAGAGGAGGTGGAAGAATTGAAACTTGTATAGATCAAACCAGTCCAGAGTCCCGCAAGGATTCTTCTGGGCAAGTTGCTTTTGTAACAATTCAGTCAGGCTTTTTGTTGTTGGAAAACAAGTGCGTATGCACGTACGTGTGGTGTCATCTGTCTCCTTGAAGCAGTTTACCTCGTACTCTTACAAGCAACTCCCCGCTGAAGAGTTTTAATACCCGCTCTATGGTCGTTGCCATCAACTTTGATACTGTCAAATATCTGCCCCACCACAGGCATTTCGCAGAGCTGTAGCAGCACATGGGGGTCACGCTGCTGCCGTAATTGTCAAGCTCTGACGAAACACAAGAGAGCACACCTCTGAATAACCCCAAGTTGACAACTACACATTCATGTTAGAGGTAGGAAAACTTAATGACGGTGTTTTATCATCCCTGCCCAACGCCTGCAGCTTAGGGCAGTCTACTGGTTGCAACTCAGTGGAGTGCAGGTTTAATCCTGGAAGGATGATCTACAGTCTTACCAGCTCAAACAGAGAACTGCCATCTCAAAGTCACTGAAAGTCATGAGCTTGTGAGCAATTTCATGTGCAACCTCCTACTGGCATCCACATTTTTATATCAAAGGAACATGTTAAAAATTACAGGCTGAATATACTTTGCTAAAATAATAACAAGAAGCTATGTTTTCGGGCCCTAGCACATTGCTGATTCAGAGCAAAAAACTCTTCCCAATTTACCAACCCTCCCTCTTGCAGGAATCTGAGACGTTCCCCATAGGGACTATGTCAAGCACAAGAGAAAACCCTGCTTAAACCATGAGGACCTCATTATTAGTGCAGTCTTTACTCAGATAAGGACTTCGGGATTAGTTCCGTAACTTCTGCCGCAGCTTTAACCATGTATAAACCATACAGTTGGTATATTTTTTTCTCTAAATCAGCTACATATTATAGATGCACTTCCACAAAAAAACAAACCAAAACAAAAAACCCCCACAACCAACCACAACCTTATTTTAGCCAATATATATTCATAGTTTGTTTGTTTGAACAGATTCAATTCTCAAGCAGGCAGATATTTTATTTTTGTGCAAAAAAATGTACAGTTGCAAAAGAAAAAGAAAAAATGCTTGCAAATAGAATGGGCTATTCACATGTATTTCAAATGAATTGTGTTCTACTGTTTTAAATCTGATGCTAGTTGAGCAAAAATACTGGGAGAACGTTGTCTGTAAAATACTGCAAGTTTCAAGGTCAACAGGTCTAGCCATACACTTTATTATTGATTGTCTCATGCTCTTCTGAACCTGTTTTTATAATCTAACTTATTTAACAGTGTTTATTTCCTGGGTGTAGGTTATAAATTTCTCAGTGTGGGATGGTTCTAGTTTTCTGTTTATACCAATACTGAACCCAATTGGTGCCATTTAGAGCTACTGGAATACAGCTAAGAATAAAAAGCTAAAAATTATTTATTGCAATTCTATTGATAAAGAGGATCTGTCTATGTGGATTAAACCACACCTGTTTTTTGGTTATGATACTCATATACGCCTATATATACACATATGTGGGTGAGTGTGTATAGATATACTATACGCATACATTTATACACACATAGAGACACAGTGTTACAGAAAGCAGGCTTCCATTTTTTAACTAGGCATAGTCGCACAAGATCAATCCCTATACTTACTATAATGAAGTTGTCACGAACCACAGTACCATCACTATAAATTCCACATTTTTTGGTGAAGGATTTTTATTCAGGGTAAATTTAAAAGTCAATGTCCTTTACTAGGACTGAAGGGTTAGAATTGGAGCAGCTTTCTGATATCGCTTGTTATTTAGCTTTTACACAGAACATCTTTACTTACAGTCTTGCAATAAGCTCTGTACAGAACTTTGAGTAATCCACTACTGAGCTAAATGTTAGACTCCAGCCTAATGCACTTCTCAAGGGAATACATTAATTCAGAAGCAAACACAGTCCTATTACACTTACACTGCATCTGACTTACCTTTACAGTGCAGTAAAAAATGCCTATTCATGGGGCTAAACTTTGCACTGAAGTATGTGCACTGGTCTTTCAAGAAGTTGCATGAGAGACACTGACGATTCAATGATCCCACTGTTGACACGCTGGGGAAAAAATTGATCAGAAACATTTTCCATTGGAATAAAACACAAGAAACCAAGAATTAGCTTATCAGAGTGATGAAATTTGTTTCAGTCCCTAAACTTGCCAAAATATCACTGTCTTATTCTGCACCTGATGTAAACTGTTTTCAGATGACTCAGTGGACTACTGTTCTGTAAACTGGGCAATGTGGACAGGATCCAAAACCTGCCCAAAGCAGGACTTGAGTTCCAATAACTAGCAGTGCTGCAGGGTAACAATGTTAGTAGGACACCATGAAAAGCCTCATTAACTTCAGATTTAAGCACTGAAGTTTGTGTAAGGAGGAGGTGCCTTGCCCACACTCTTTAATTTGCATGATTAGACCCTATAAATATTATTTTTATGGAGAAGATCTTTACTACTTTTAAAAATACAGTCATATTACGTGCTTGCATTTAGGTTTAGTTTTTTAGATGCTTATAAAGGACTAGTGAAGACATAATTGGTAAAAACATTTTGTGTTAAAATCTTTTCCGTTTTTAAAAAAATGTAAAATATCACCAGCATTTTTAGTTTTGAAAAGGATTCTTTCCCTGTTGCAGCTCAAGTGTACTAATTTTTACCTAATATAAATGATTACCCAAGCCCCAAAGCAGCAATTAAGCTCACAGAATGTCATCACAGCACTTATGGCTTGGGATGAAGAAGCTGTTAACACAGCCCCGTGTACTTCTTACCTATGTAGCTGTCTTCCTCTTGGGGATTCTTCAGTGCTTAAGAAATAACTGTGCCCAAAAGACAAAGTAAGTTAAACTCAGTTTGGTAAACTGTCTGATTTGGGTGGTGTTTAGAGAAGTGAGAGACATCATAAATAACGTTTTTTAAAATTAAAAATTCCCAAATATACATGAAGATCGAATACTTTTATATAAACCTAAGCTCCACGATTAAACTTAGACCCAGTATACAGAGGCTATATTTCAGATGCTATATCATTTCATATTAAAACAGTGACGGTTTCTGTTTAATTCCTGTAATGCCCCGGAGCTCCAGTAGCAACCAGGACCCCTTTCTGCATATTACAAATACAGAAGAGAAAGTTTCTCCTTCACTCCAAGAGTTTGAAATATAAATCCAAGGATTAGAAAAAGGTCACAATGAAATTTTATCATAAGTTATAATAAGCCTTATGATACGCGAAAGCCTTTTTGAGCTGTAGAACGACTTTTTCTTCTATCTAGAGACAGAAGCTAGCACCCTAGGCAATGGTTTACAGACAAGGTTGCATGGGTGGAAAGAGGCTTAGCAGAGCTGCCCTTGGTGTGTCCCAGGTGAGATCCCCACAAAGTTTCTGCTTGGGAGGCAGAAGGAGGGTGAGGAAGTCCTCTCAAGTGGCTGAGACGACCCCCCATGCAGTCTGCCACCTCTCTGCAGGCTCAGTGCAGCCAGACCTCACTTTTTCATCTGAACCTTGGAGAAGTATCAAGACATTCTCCACAGATATATTTCAAAACCCGTGGAAGGACTAGTCAGAAAGGGTGTTTCTCCAGTACCAGTGGAGATGATAGGCATTGTTGCAGCCTCAAAAAGGTCCTTGCTGAAATATAATTTATTTTAAAGAAAATCAGAATTAGAGACAGCTGTTTATTTTTTGCCATGCACACGAAGACTAACCAAGATCCACTGAAGTTATGTGGAGCCTTCAGATGTTTTGTGTCAGTTCTTTACTGCTCCCAAAAATCACCAAGTACGTGCTGCATTTCCTTCCCACTATAGTGCTAAGATGGGCTTTGGAAAGATTTCTCTCTGAGTGATCTGGGTGAAAATCAGGGGCTTGGATAATCGCTCTATATAATTTGAATTTATGAGGTTGAATCAGATCCCCAAAGTCCAGATTACATCTCATGCAGTAACCAAGCAAGCACGAAAACTGAAGATTTGGGGATTTTATCAAGTAAAAATTTACTATGATTTCTTTTCTGGAATCCAGGAAAGGGCCACCAAAATGTTATTACTGCTGTATTGTGTGTTGATTTCTTTTATTTAAAAAAATACAGTGAGTCAACTGACGTCACGGTATGCTCCTTTTCTCTCTGCATAAAAACACACGCAGTAATACACTGGCAGATAAATTGTCTGACAACTGCATTTTATGTACTCGGGAGTGTAAAATTTATGGTAATGCTCAAAAATGAAAGAAATATTTTTACTTAATTTTAGATACACTATTTCCAGTTAAACGGGTTCCACTTGTACCTCAGATATTTTCATAAACAAAGAGAACAGTGCTTACATCTTTTGAGTATTTTCATCATATGCCAGGATTTTGGTAACTTCCCAGTTTCCTGATGTCAGGTGTCTCACACTGATTTGTTCACTTTTAGCCTGGAGAGAGATGGAAAATACTAACTTTCACCTTGTTACATTTTTCTTTGCCTAGCAAGATTGTCTGCGTGTCATTACTGCTTACATCTTTTTAAACTTTAATGTGCAACATAACATCTTTAAATCACAAACCTCACATTTTGACAGGCCTGAACTTCAAGTATCCTTTCCCTCCCATATATAAACTTTTCAAACTCATTAAAATCATCTCAGTTTCCATCACAATTTTTCTTTCAGATGCCCACATGCCAACAGACAAGTCCTATATTTCAAGTTTTGTTTCTCTTAGTGTTTCTTTTCCTCTACAGGGGCATAGCAGGGGAAACTAACTCAGACCCCTGCAACCAAAACTCTGCACCAGAGTGTTCTCACCAAGCTTTCACGTTTGTCACATGCTTGTACTGAGCCAAGAGTACCGCAAAGATGCTGTGCCAAGACAGGACACCAACACCACCCTCATCTGAGGAGGCAGGCAAACCTCTATGAGAAATGCACCGCACAAACTCAGACACAGAAGTTCACAGGATCTAAACCTAGTTAAAGCCCCTGCTCCACCACGCACTCTGGAGAAGCCTCTCTTTATCCAGGGTCTGTAAGGAGAGTCTAAGAGTAGCCTCCAAATTTTGGCAACTGAACCAAATGCTTACAAGTTGGGGAGCACCCTCTTGCTCCCTCTCATAAATTATTTCTACCCCAGTGCAAGCCTAGGAAAATAGGCTACAAGGGAAAACTGCTACAAGGGGAAATTCAAAACCTCTCTCAAAGAAAGTGATGGCAGCTTTCTCAGCCAATGCACCAGGAACTGAATTAGGAAACACCAGGATGCAATGCATATCTACCTTGAGGCAAAACCAAACTCTTTGGCTAGAAGCTGCAGCAGATGCCTCATCAGACACAGGTTAAAAACAATGAAACCCGAAGAGTGAGAAGCTCATTTTAGAGTTCTTCCTAGTGCAAAAGGTAAAATTCTTGCTCAGGCTTCTGAAGATTAAAACTTGAACCATGAATATACATAAAGAGTGTTTTTTCTGTACTAGGGTTATGATGCTTGGCCTGGATATAAAAATTCCTAGTTTTCAAATTCAAGACAAATGTTGTAAAGAAAAGAAGTGATATTTCAGCTTATATTTCAGCTCTAGAGGGTGAAACTGAGCAGCTGGAGTTACAAAGGAGGTCAGAGGGAGGGTTTAATCGTGCTTTCCGGCCTTGCGCCCTGTGAATCCGGAGCACCAGTCCATACCTAATCACAGTGACCTCAGTGGTTATGTGGCCTACAAAAAGTCATAAAGGCAAAGAGGTTTTTTTTAATCCCTGTATTTCTGAACTGTACTTTGTAAACTCTGAGCTCTACATCAACAGCAGCAATAACTAGAAAGCAGAAAATGCTCGAGGACACCTATGAGACATGTCTGGAAATGGCAAGGCAGAAACAAGTCCCTTAAAACTGATCTGTTTTCCAACAGATCCACAAAGAAAGAATAACGTCGTAACTCCATGACAAGTCTTGCAAGTACCAACTGAAATCAGGACGACGTGCTAGGTGCTGTACATATGTTTATGATGACGGTTCCCTTGTTCAGGAAGGTTCTCATTCAGTGCTGTCTCCAGGAATGATTAAAATACAAATTAGTGATTTATTATAAGTGACTATTTCTTCTCTAGAGAGAGAGAAGCTGCAACTATTGAAAGAGGTATTTAAATATTGAGATCACAGAATCTAACAAGAAACAGCAATAAAAAGCCCAGCCAAGCGTTAATAAACATGGTTATTTTTCAAGGTTACAGCCATAATACATAATTTATGAAGCTTGCAGGAAGTTCTTGCATTGATCCATTAAAGTTACTTTATAATTCTTATTTTGTGGTTGGAAAAAGAGACTTTCCAGAGTTGCAAAACCCCAAGTAAGAAATTTCTAGATATATCATGATTCAAAATCCCATTTTGAGATTAGTTTCTTTTATTAAATATTTCATAAATTACAGAAAGCATTTGAAAACAATAAAACACACATCTAGCCCTCTACAATCAGACAGTAAATAATATGATAGACAGTAACCTTTTAAACAGTAACCTCCCCTTGCAAGAAGATTTAATTAGATGCTTCTGCTAACCTGCTTTGATTATATCATTGACACATGCTTTTCTAAAGTACAGTCAAAGAAATACAGCCCAAGAAAGACCATAATTTGTCAGCACTTGTTGTAAGATTGACAAATAAGCCTCAGTGATTAAATTAATCTAAAGCGAGCCATTAAAATTTACTTCTTTGTCACTGTATGTTCACATTGGTTCTGTGTTTTAACTTTCCTGCACTTGAAGGCTGATTTCTGTTAATGAGCTGGTATCTGTACTGAGCAGTACAGAGAAGTAACGAGAATCTGAATGCCAAATTCCAATGTTATCCGAGCTCCATCACGAAAAAACTGTCATCATCTGGGTACCGGCGACCTGCTGACTGCTTTAAATTCTGCAGGGCACCTGTTATGCCGCTGTGGCTCTCACAAGGTGTGACAAAACATCTGATGTGACAAAAGACTATGTGCAACGGTTAGTATAATTTTTATGCCTCCATGTTTGCTTTAGAAATAATGGACAATCAGATTAATGCAGTGTGTAAAACACATCTCATAAACACATTTCCTGTCCTTTATTGCTCTGTACCAGCCCCATTACCACGCAGAACGTTGCTTATTGATGAATAACGGTTGATACATGGGATATCACATTTCCTCTTCTTCTCAGGAGCAGCTACATACTTAAAGCCAAATTTGTCATTGGTGATCCCATTCAGACTTGTTTCATGGTGATGAACCCATGTTCATGGTGATGATCCCATTCAGACTTGTATCGTGGTGATGGCGGTCAAAATAGAAGTATTTTTGATTTTTGGAGCTGTACAGTACCCAGGGCTCTAATTCTGCCTAAAAGGGATAGAATACTAAACTCTTAATCATAAACTTGACGTTAAACATAATGCCGGTGGGATTAAAACATGTATTTAAAAGTAGGTATATATTTAATTATCTTATTGAATAGGAGTGGTCTTAATATTTTGCTTAGTATTTTCCTGAATTAGGATCAAGTTCCCTGGGCTCTTCAGTAGCGAAAAATGTCAGAGCCTACAGGTTTAAGGCAAATTTGATTGTATCCGTAACATCCTTGGGAATGCTCCAAGTTAATTTTCAGATCCACATCTTTATTATTTCATGTATTTTAAAGATACTTATTAATATTGGGAAAGAAACCAAAATAAGACTTGATTGACTAAACGGTTTTGCTCCGGTGTGAATTTTTGTGAGGTTATTATATTAATACACCTTTACCAGATCATCATCAGCTACTGTTTTCTTTAGAAGATAGAATTTGACATGTCTTTGATCCCTTTTTTCTTGTCTGATTCTTTCTTGATATATTTACTCTAGTGAATGAGTATCTTGTTCTTGCTTCTTCAGGTTAAATTTTCATTAAAGTTCTTTTGCTCTTTTTCTGTCTGCAGTACACTGTGAACATATTTCAGACTTAATAATGTTCATACCAGAACACTGTCATAAAGGGAGATAATAGAGTTGCCTGGTGCCAAGTCTGCTATTTTGATGTTTTGGGTACCTTGATAATCCCTCGCATGTCATATGGCTCTGCTAAAATACCTGGATTAATGCTCTGCTGATTTAAATAGATGCCTTGGAGTGTTCCGTTCCAGGGCATAATTTCCTTTATTAGTTCATCACAACTTCATACTGGTGACCTTCAAAGTCATAGTGCAAATTTATCTTCTTTCAGATTCTTCTTTGGAAAAAGCAATGACCCTGGGAAATGGAAGCCACTGGAAAATGTTGCAAAGGGTAATAAGAGAGTCCTGATTTTCACAAAATTTTAAGTTCTGGGTATTGCCTCCCTTTACTGTCATGTGTAAGACCAGAATTATGAATATTCTGAATTGACATTTAAAATTATACTTATGCATATATAGTGTATATAAAGAGGGTAAAATGAGCATTTCTGCAGGTCTCTTCAATTTCTGTGGCTATAAAACATTATTTTTGACAGAAGGGTTTAAGCAAGAAAACATCTCTGCTCGTCTATAGAGGTACAAAGAAAACATGAAATCTTCCAGAGAGAATACACTTTGGAAGTACCTTTCCTTTACAGACCTTACATGCCACCACAGTAGAGGTCTAAGAAAAGACAGAGCGCTCCACGTATTCTCCAAGAAGTTATAAATATGTCCCTCTGCACCAAGTGACAACCTGGACAGGACAACTGACCACGACACAAGTGTTCAGACTGTACTGAAGTGCAAGCCTTTGCTCGGGTCATGTGTCCTCAGTAAAAGTCCTAGATGACCACTAGGATATTAAAAACAGCCTGAACCAAAACCTTACCTGAACAATAAACATGGCTATGTGGTGAAATTCGCCCCGGCCTCCCTGCTTCACTGGGACAGTCATGAAGAACTTACTGCCGTCCTTGGAGAAAACTGGTTCTTCGTTCTATAAACGTAAGATTGTGTTAGTTTCTCACATTTTCCATTAAACTTCTTAACAAAACATCAGCTTAGGTTTTTTGTCTCTTTGGTTTTGGTAGTTGCTGTGCTCATAAGACAACTGGACAAAAATCCTTAGATTTTAAATATATTTTGCTAAGATTAACAAAAATGTGGTGACTAAAGGTAAAGGTAGTTCATGCCAGTAGTTACTATTATGCAATGTTGCCCTAAAGCATGGGTTACAGCCCTTGCAAAACTCTCCCTCCCAATGAAAAGTCTGGTAGTCTGATCCCTAATGCAGCGGGACTTTCCAGGATACATTCTTTTACAGACATACAATTGATGACAGAGATAAGTCCTACTAGTGATGAGGAGAACAAATGTTTCCATGGTCTGGACTCAGCAAAACATTACTAAGTACACACTTACCACTCACTGATTTTGATAAAGTTGTATGCAAGAAATAAGCACATTGAAGTGATATTCTGAATCATGGTCTTGCCATAAATTGTAGCCTGATGTGATACCATCTCTCTATGTCTAACTTTACACAGAAATATTAAAGGAAAACGGCTTGCTATAAAACCATAGATTTTTTAAAATGATTTCTCATTTGCAAAATGAAGCCTGAAATGTATTTTAAATAGAATGTGTGTCATCCATTTATTGGATAGCTCTTCTGAAGCTATGAAAATGGAATCATTTGCTGACATATTAGTTCAACATATTGTTCTGGGTATGAATTTAGAAATGTTCTTATGCATTCCAATTATAGCCCCTATGACCTCTAATCTTTGAACTCCTTTGAGTTTAATTTGGTGAGGTTATTTTTTAATCAGAAAAGAATCAGCACAGTATATAGGACATGCTTGGAATGGGATTTGTCTGATCTATCTTTAACCATCCAAGAGTTAGGTAGTTAATCAGCTGGTCATCTAAGTGCTTACTTAACTGAATGCACAGATTGGAAACTGAAGGGAACATTGCCTCCAAAACCCAGACAGGTGTCTCACTTCGAAGGGCTGAGTTGCTCGATGGAAGCGCGTATCTCTTTCCACCACTGACACAGTCAGCTAGATAGTGAAATGCCCTCTGTGTGATGCTAAGTGACAGGATTCCCACTACCAAAGAAACCAGCTGCCATCTGAATGTTCACACAGACGCTGCTATAATCCTCAGCTGCTAAATTAATTTAAGATCCTAAAAAGTATTCCATTTTAAAAGGAATGGATTTTAATAGCTTATAAAATAACATATAATTAAATAAAAATGACAATGAAGCAATTACACATTATACACCCAGAAATAGCATTTATACTATACCTGTTTAGGAAGCCACAGGTCTGACTGCATTTCATATTTCTAAAAAAGAAAAAAATGCTTTTATGGAATAGCTATAGATCAAAAATATTTCCCACATTCAGCAAAAGGTCTCTAGCCTAATTTCGTGTTTTTTCTGCTGTGTTACGATCTTCACATCTCTTCATTGGCACTTACATTGAAACAAACGATAATTTAATTACAAAGTCAGATGCTTTATTCAGAGTTTTTGGTAGAACACCACAGGGGACCTAAGAATGCCTTTTTCAGTCCTTTCTGATTAACTATCAAGAAGCTTTACACAGGCAGTCCTATTTGTTTTTTACCTCTAGGCATCATCTGACAACTGGATATTTTAGGTCCTTCATCAACACTGGGCAAACAGCCAGCATCAAGCTCAAAGCGTGAGACCTTTTCAAATCACAATCTCTTGCTTTAACGGGTTGTAGTGTGGCATTAGTGAAGAGAAAAAAAATAAATGCAAATGGTTGGTTTTTATTGGTCACACTCATATTTCACATCATGCCATCTAAGAAAAAACCCAAATACCATGCACACATTGTTGGGAAAAAAATATAGAATATACATCAAGTGTTGTCAGTTGTCACAGTCACACTGAAGTCATGAAAATTTATTAGCTATACATACATCTGTACATACATGGCCTGAAAAATGAAAAATCTATAGCTACTACAGCAGCTGGTTTTATACAGTACTTTTTGGAATTGAGAACATGTGCAAAATGCTAAAAAAAAGAATTAAAAAAAATAGGTTTACAGTTGAAATCAAATGGTCTGATACAATGTTAAATTCTCACAATACGGCCTTTCCTCATCCATTACTGAATTCAAGAGCATCACCTTATCCCAGCGGAGGAACTGTCCAGGGTTACAGGCATGAGCCCTGCCTGAGCTGTGCTCACTATGGTGACACTGCATCGCTATCCTTCCTCGCCCACCTACAAGGTCCTTCGCTGCACTTTATTTCTTCTGGAGTGGGACTTCTCAATCTCTCTCTCTTATATTATGTCCTGGATCACAGCTCCCTGGACACCTACTTCTGACAAGTCCAATTGACCTTGGAGCACACAAGGGTTTCCCTTCAGAAGCCACTGCTCACAGTGGTTCCCGAAGGACTTTCTTAATGAAAGGGCACAAGGCTTGCAGGAACCAGGTAAAAAGCAACCCAATCAACAAATCCCCATGTTCACAATCTTAATCCATAGCCTGGGGACTTATTTGCAGTTTCTGAGTCAGGAAAAGCAACCTGCACTATGTAGCAAAAGAAGGAGACAAGCTCAGAAATAATCCCTAACACTTTAACATGACTGACTTCAGTAGCAGACACTGATGGGAGCCTTTTGACTCAGAGGCCAAACTTAGACCCACATTAATCACTCATAACCATTTACACTGCCAAATTATACCCTCTACTTTGGAGCATCTGTTAGTACTGATATTAGCATATATAGAAAATATTTATACTTTTAGCTGGTTCTGGGAAGAGAACATGACTCAGAATGGGAAAGTGGCCAACTGCATTCAAGATGCAAGATTGACTGTGAAAATGGAGAGGTGTAATGCAGGAGTGTCAGAAGTCAAAGTCTGGGTCAAGAGATGGGATATGGCTGGATTCAAATAGAAAAATCTATTTCAGCTTGACTTACATTCAAAATGAAATATCCCTATTGCCTTTCAGTTTTGGTTTTTTTCTAAAGTTATTTAATTCTGCTATCGAATTTGCAGGAATTATCAGAATTTTACACCTTTTCCTTAAACATATGTAAACTGTGAGAGACAGAAAGATCTGAAATGAAACTCTGTAGGGGGAGAGAGGAGAAACCAGACAGCTGAAAATATCTGACAGAAGACAAGCTTGTCACTGTGCTAGCTATATCCAAAGTACACGACGTTCAGCAACCGCAGTCTCCACTGAAGTTAATGAATGAACAAAGCTTAGTAATTCTGAAAATGTCACTCAAAGTTGCTAAGTGCATGAAATCATTTCACCAGATTTGGAATTTTCTCACATCTATTTCCTCCCTGTTGACTAATTATATTCAGCTTGCAACTACGGCATCTGCAAACTGATTTCCGAAAATCTTTTTCTGAATATGAAAACAAAATGCAGGAAGAAACCTTGAAAAGAGAGCTTAGGAAAAAATCTGACTTACCCTGCTGCAAGCCCCAGTTGTAGTTTCACAAACCGTAAGGATGGAGATATTCTGAGGTCTGTTTAACCATCTGACCACAGTTTTGGTGTTGCTTACCCATTTCACCATGGTGATGTAATATTCCCTAAGTAAACATTTGAAAATACAACATTCAGATCATTCCTATTTCAGATTAGACATTTTTTGTTTAAAAAAAATATACAGTTCATCAAATGCTGGATTTGTACTGCATGACAGTATCAGTACTGAGGGATGGAGAAAATAACCCCAAATGCCCAGCATCTGTGTTCCTACAAGTGGGAAGGCTCAGTCCTAGTGCGCTGTTCCCCTGGGAAATTTGTACTCCGCTAGCACCTCCTTCTCAGCCATTTGTAATACATAAACTTTACCGAATGCGAAGCATAGACTTGTGAAACATCTGTTTGCGAATACACATGAACCATGTACTGGCCGTCCAGCTTAAAAACGAACACTAAATTCCAACAGAAGCCAGTATTTTCCCATACCAAATACCTTCGGAAGACACACATTTTTGCAAAAGAATCCAGCCCTATTGCCAAAAAAATAAAAAGGTCTGTCATGTTAGAGGGCAGGCGAGACCACTTTAAAATATCACGTGTTATAAAATAATAAGTATTCCATAATGGGACTTCTGCATAAAGGGAAGTCACACCCAGTATCAGTGCGTGTCAGCTTCGTTTTAACAAATCACTCATAATATCAGACAAATCGTCTGTCCTTCAATGACCCTGGCTGAGCAAGGGAGGCTTCCTAGGCACAGACTAATGGTACGGAGTATCTGCCTCCCTCCTCCCAAAATCCTGTTAGGCTGTCAGACCGGGGACGTTACAGAGGAAGACCTGTTGCAGCTTGCCATCCCAGCCAGGCTATTTGTTTCACTTCTCTACTTGTGGCAGCTGGCAGCTTTCACAGTCCAGCTGAGTTATGTGCATCAGTGGAGCGAACTTGTGTGGAAACTCAGCCCCCCTTTAAAACAAGGGTCTTAGCTTGCACAAGATTAGGCTTTTAATCTAATACTAACACATATTTAATTATACATTCAAAAGACTTATTACTAGATCAAAGAGGCTAAGCAGCACCAACAGCAAAGTTGTGTACAACTCTGATGGTGCACACAGGAGATGCAGGAGACAGCAATTCACTGCAGCTTCACCCAGCCTCGGTCTGGTGCTATATTTGAAGAACATAGCTGAACAACCCAATATGCCCAACTTTCTTTTGGCTTTTATGTTTGACTTTTAATAAGATAGATATTTTCACAGATGGATACCAGAATGATGACTAGAAATGGTGACTTCAGGTATATTCTAATACTTATGGTTTTTTGTTTAAAAAGCTTTTTAAATTACTGAGGAGCAAAAACGTATGCCAAAAATAACGCAAGATCTAACACGAGACACAGCCAACAAAGCAATAATCCAACAAACAAACCAAAGAGTGCAATACCAAATCTCAGTAAATGGTTCCCCATAGCAGAACTCAAGAAACAAGAGTTGAAAACTTCTCCCTCTGCAGTCGTGCCTTCATGAGGCCATCCAAAACCACTGCAACTGTGCATACAGAAGCCCAAAGATAGTCAAAAGGAAATGTTCAAAACATGTATATAAGGACTGCCTCCCTCTACCGGTACTTAGGCACCAAGGTAAGACAGCATCCACTGACAACAAAGCCCAAATTATCCCAGAACCAAATTCTACAAAACAGAGCCTGAGCTGTTCCATTTGAGAGAGTCTTCAGTGAGGGACGGAAACAGGAGATTTAATCATTCAGAATCCAGCTGACACAGTAATTAATAGTCCAAATCAAACCATAACATGGTCTTCCATCACTGACATAAACTCCTTGATCACTCAAATGAAAACAAAAGATCATTTAAAAATTCCCTTTTTTTCCCTTTCATCAACTATACGTAAAAATATGTTCAAATTTCACTACATTATGACTTGTTTATCAGGAGTGTAGCATAGTGTGCGTGTACATATGTATGTAGAAACACATACCCTTCTGAAATTAAATACTGTCTCCAGGTAATGTACCTCTGCAATTCACAGTTTTGCAGTTAATCTATTGTTTCATATATACAGTGCACATACACACACACAGAGTAGCGTTGTTGCAGGTCAACAGATATAACAAAGTCAAAGTTTGTAGAAGAAAATTGTATGTTTTATTAGATTGGCTGATACAGTTGAATAAAAAAAGAGAAGCCTGCAGGGCAAAAACTGTTTTAGTTCTGAGGAAGCTGCTATCAGTTTGTGTCTCCAAACTTATCAGGCTTTTTTTGCAACTAATCTATTGTTCTAGTAATGAAAATAAGCACTCTCTCTTTCCCTCCAGACTCAAATGCACAAATGTACTGGGATTATTAGACCCTCTGCATCTGTATATACAGTAAGTTTCCTCACATCACTTTAAAGAGGAAAGACTATGATTACTTTCTGGACAACGGACTGAAGCAAGATATTAAATAAAAATTTACACTCATTTTAGATCCTCAATTTGATACCCATTTAATTAGGTGCTCTATAGCACTTTGCGTGTTCAGAACACAACTTTCATCCTTGTTCGGGAACATTTCTTAAATCAGACTGTGGATTAATTTACTGCATGTCCAAAGAGTAACAAACACAATTACCGATCACCTGTGCAATGTTAGTTTAAACTCACTGTATCACACAGGGGCTACGTGGCAGAGACAGAATCCACGTTTAGCATTCAATTGGCCTAATAAGAGCAGACTTCTCTCTCTTGCTGTGCCTTGTTTTATTCAAGTTGTGCCTCCTCACCCACTTCTAACTTTCTTTTTCCTACACTTTGTGTAGCCAGTTCCAGGGTTTTCCTTATCGATCCCTTTTCTCACAGCAGGGCCACTATAAGATGATCACAGGAACCAAAAAAAAACGCCGTTTGTTGATACTCATCTCCTCTATTCTCACCAGCTCTCAGGGTTCCCACTGAAATCCCTGATTGCCAAGAAAACCTCATTCAATCCCTGCCTCATACACCTGCCTTTTTGTTTTTTAGCCAGTCCCCATTTCTCTAATCAAGTTTTCACCTCAGACTTTTTAGTCTCTTCCCTCTCACCTGCCCTAGGATTTTTTCCTTTCTGAATTCCAAAGAGATAGCTTTCCTCTTTACTCTGTATAAAAGCAGACAGAAAACACTGAAAACACAGAAAAGGCAGTCTCCTTCCACAGCATCCCGTGATCAGTCAATATTGAAGGAGCTTGTACATGACTCACCTTATTCTAAGCTGGATTGAACCAGGCAATGCATAAAAACAAGAACTTCAAGCTCCTTGAGCAGACAGAGAGCTACTTCTGATTCCACATTTGGTATTTATATCTGTTGCTTGGCTTCAAAGTGGCCTAAGGCAATTATATAAGGTAATCAGAATAAAGAAGGTACAGCTTTCCCTTAGGCCTATGAACCAGGAACATGACATGTATACTGTCAGCTCAACAGTAGGAGCTGGAACATCTCACGTGTGCCGAAGAGGTGCTGCACACCGAGAAAGGTCAGGTCTTGGGGCCTGAGATGGATGGAGGATATTCAGTGAGAAAAAAATTTCCAACTGTAGGTGTTAAGAAAGCAAATGTCTTTCCTGAGCATACGGCAATTAGCTTTTTCCCAAAGACTTGTAACTTGATGAAATCTGGATTCATTTTTCACCGCTGATAAAAAACATGTTAAATATCAAAGGTGTTTATCATCCTTTGCCAAGCTTGAAGATCCCATTTTTTTTAATCTTTCTTTCTTATAGAATGTTTTCCTTTATTTTGATTATCTCAATTGATATGCAGTTCTATGGAAGTAGTTTAACAGTTTGCTAATACATTTATCATCACTCAAGAATGTCCAGCACGTCTTGTTTCACTTGTAAGTTTTGGGATGCTTGTAACTAGAAAGATATATATGTGTATCTTGCTGGCTGTTATTGTAAGTGCTTAGCAAAGTCAACAGAGACAATAAGCTGAACAAAGGAAAGGGATTTGCACTGCATTACACTGGAAGCATAGTTACAATCATAATTAAATTTGAACATTAGATACTTAGATTTTAAATAGACAGACTAACCTCACGGGGAAAAAAAAACAAACCACAATTTTAAACTTTAAAATAAGAAACTGTTCAAGAAAAAGAGTCAAACTTTGCAACTTCATACCATTCACTATAATGAGGAAATCTGCTCTAACTTTAAGCTGGTGAGCTGATTATGAAAGAAACCTGCTTGTAAGAATAGCTGGAAGACATTTAACATTTATGGCAATGGAAAAAGGAACCTTACTTTTGATGACGGTATTAATAATTTGGATAATAAATACCACAGGGTTCAGCTAAAGAAAGCCAACCTATTACACACTACTAGTTTGCTGGCAGGTTATCTAAGAAAGTAAACAACAGAAACTTGCCCCATGCACAATGCTCTAGAATATTTACTATATTCTTAAATTATTTATCTTGTTGTGTATTGAAAAGCATATGAGAATTTACAGATACTAATAGAAAATGTCATTCTCAGAAACACACATGGAAAACACCACAAATTGAGACATGACCTGCAAGGTAGCTAAGACAACTACAGTTTGTCGGTATTTTGGTATACTATACATGACTTTATCTATGCATACATTGATGGATGTACTGCAGTTTTCTTCTGAGACCAAGCCACAGGTATTTGGTTGGAAGGAGCTTTTCTACCTCCCCTTCCCATGGGTGCTGATGGCCACCATCCTAGCCAGGCTAACAAGCTCTGCTCCCCATTTCCTCACAGACATGGGCCCTGGCCACGACCATCTTGGTAGCCCACTGATGGACTCTCATCATCCCCCCTGAATACCCAAATTGGTGTGGGTGATGCTCTGCCTTTATGGGTGATGGACAGAGCAACCTCCCTCAGTCTGCTGGCGACACTCCTTCTAGAGCAGGGCCCAGCCTTGGTGACAATAAGCGTGAGCTGTTGTCTCCCATTCAGCCCCAAGCCCAAATCCCTCGGCAGGACGGCTGGGAGGCAGCCGGGTCCCAGCCCCTGCTGACCCAGGGGCTTGTCCTAGCCCACGTGCAGAACTTGCATTTCTTCCCACTGAACAGGGAAGGGAATAATCAATAAATACCTTGGCATTGTGTGGGAAAGCTTCAGTAAAATAAAGTGTGTGAATATATTTTTATCCTGTAGGCTTTGGCTGAATAGATTACAGCCATTTGCTATAAGGTATGATAGCGAATTAATCCTTTACATTAACCTTGTGAGACAGGTATTGTTATTGCCGAGTTACAGAAGAGGCGAGGGGCAGAAGCGTGAAAGAAGTGACTAGACATAGTGTGTCTAAGAAAAGCTGAAAGTAAACCCCAGTTTTCTTAATACCAAATTGCACACGCACACCTCTTTCCCATTTCCAGTTAGAATCAAATAAGCTTTCTATTCCAAAGCAAGGCTCAGATAAACTGGCTGCCAGAAGTATAAAACCAACCTTTCTAGATTCAAAAGGTGATTTCAAACTAGAAGTACATAAATATCCAAATGATTTTGCTCATTTGGAAATGTGTGGATAATAAAAACACTGGTGAGACTTGTAACAGCATTATTTGAATTTATGCAAGCTCAATTTCTTAAGTGTTTCCAGTTCCATTAAAACAAAGATTAATTAAAATCAATAAAAATTATTGAAATTTGTCATACAAAGTCAGAAGGGTCCGACTGTATATTTCAGTCTCTTTAAAAGCAGGTATATACAAAATGAGAATGTGGACATCTAGCATTTTTTCAGGCATTTAAATACTATTGGAAAAAGAAAGAAAAAGGACTGACTTAATTTCTTACAGTGCGTTTTAAAACTGCCTGGTCAGCAGTGGCTGGGAATAGTGCAGAGCCAATGCCCCTCGCTCACTGTGGCTGAGAATGGGGAAAGCAAACAGCGGATCGTCCCCACACTGAGACTTTCGAGAGCCAATACACAGTTCTAGCAGAAAAATCTTTTCATCATGTATGGAAGCACAGCTCTACTCTAACAACTCAACTGCAACTTCTGTCATGGATTATTTCACGTTTTCTTCAGCCTACATAATTTCTTAATGTCATATTAATACCTTATATCTAAATACCACCAGTTACAAGGATTCTTCAGGTGTCCTAAGGCACAGTGGTTTGAACTGACCACTTGCACACCATGTTGCTTTTTCAAGATTTGCTGCAGGAGGTACAAGCTTTCCAACGGGAACTTCAGGAGCTAGCAGTGTACGAATGCACACATATTTCATCCTACATGTATATTGGCTTTCTAGGACTAATGAGAAAAAAACCCTGCAGTTCAAAATCACGTTCGCCACTGAAGAAAACATAATGTAATTGTACACATGGAATGGAAGCACCAAAGGGGAAAACAGTAATTGCACTGAATACAAGCACATGTTTAAAGGAAGACTGTCAGTCTTCTTGTGACATTAACACTGCACAGCGGATGGTAAATTTTTCCACAGAATAAAACTTTCTAAAGTAAATTTACAAATGTTATTGTTAACTTTATATCAGAATAACCTGAACAAAACTTGGGAAATGTTACCAAGCACCTTTATAGAATCACTGCAAGAAGTAAACGAAGGCAGAACATTGAATTTACTCAACCTTACATCAAGTTCCCAGATGCCCTAAAAATCACTGAAACAGTTTTCTGTCTTCAGAGGTCCTGCACTGCACACAATCTGGGGAGAGTTCAGAATCTGAATGTTACTTTTTGTGGTTATAAATAACAGAAGCCCCCTTCCCTACCCATTTGTGTGGTTTCTCTGCGTAGGAGTGAATCTCTCCCGTAATAGCAGTTGGTTATGACTGGTACAATATGTATTTCCAAAATGTTTCTGCCCTGAAAGATCCATAAAACTACATAAGATAGTGTCCCATTCCATTTAATTCTGAAAGACTCCCATGACCTATTTACTAATGACTTCATAATGAATGGATTAGAAAGGTACTGAAAAAACCTGACTGCTAAAAGCAGCTACTACTTTTATTAAAAAAGCTAATACTTTAAAAAAACCCTCCCAACCATTACAAACTCCAAAGATTTCCACTCTAGAAAGGCCTGTTCAAAGCTCATTCTTCATACCTGTATATATATATATTGATATATGAAAGCTCATTCTTCATACCTGTATATATATGTATTGATATATGGATATATATGGATTGATGACCAGTGTGATGACTGACTGCTGCTCAAGTCCAGAGTCAGAATGCAAGATCTACAGTATACTTGGCTGACAACTATATAATTTTTCTAAATGTTATAGCACAGACGTTATATCTTAATAGCTAAAATTAAGATGAAACTAACTTTTTTCCAGGTTTAAATAGTTTTACTCTGTCTTCTGATACAGCAGCAAAACAGAATTTTAAACATGAATATTACTTCAATTAGACAGCAACAATATCTTTATCAAGGACTCAAAAATCTGGCAAAGATGCCCCTCAAGGCTCACAAAAGAATTTCCACAAATTGAGCTACTGCTAGCCTTCAGCTTCAAGATGCAAAAAACGTTTTAAGATACCAATATTGATTCATTTGATTCTACTTTTATTTTCAATCTGCTGGGGAGGAAGAATGAATCTGAAAAATCTAAAGTGAAACCATAACATCTGAACAACATTTTCAAGATTTTTTTTTTTCTTGGGGATTTACACAATGCTTTCTCATTTCACTTCTTCGTGCCTTCTGACATTTAAAGGACAATTTTAATGCTGTTTAAGAGAGTTACGATGCTAATCTCAATGGCAAGGAATGTCTTTCAGATCTTACACTATCACTTAAATTAATGAAGGGTTAGCAAGCAGCAGGAGACTTTATTATGTTTTTCAGTAGTGGCCCATCAACAGAAAGAAAATACTTCAAAAAGCACAAAATCATTCCTTTCACTAACACAATCAGTAAGCATTCCAGCTGACATAAATAACTGCAAGGCATAATTCACTATTAAATTATTCCTGCACTAAATTAGGGTACCTCAATTTGTGTAGCAGAGAGCTACGCCAGCTTAAAATTGGTTGCAATGGTTGTGAATCAGTGCCCATGTTAACATCCTGATTGTTTTGGGAACAATTACCAAAAAAATCTTCTGGGTTTTGTAGGAACTGCAAAAACAGCAACTATATTCAGAGGGGTTTTTTTAGCTAGAGGTAGCTTTATGGTTGCCAATCCTTCCCACGTCTTTCCCCATCTGAAAATGCCCTGAGTGAAGAGAGGAAGTTGCACTTCCCTCGCCTTTAGACTGCAGCCAGATCTGGACTGTGGTAACTCTTTTATTGTTATTATTACCTGTATTAGATAATAATTTAGGGTTAGAAGATCATTAACATGTGCGCTGAAACCACAATGGGAATTTAATCAATACAACTGCAATTCTACAAACTGGAATACACATATGGGAACAGATGAAAATTTTTTGCCCTTAACAAAAGTTTCAAGGCACCTCAAAATGAGGACAGGTAATCGAGAGCTCAGCTTAAGGTAGTAACTTTAGCAGGAGATTCACTGGTTACAGCCAGACCTCATTTCTTCAGCCCCGAAATCAAAGGGACTGTTAAATTAGCTCAGTGGTTCTGAAGCAGCTTCTCCTGAAAAACACAGCACGTCCCTTCTTAGTCTGTGTGATCTGGTGGCATCGCATTTCGCCTTCTATCGCCTTACTGCGTCTGTCAGCCATGATCAGAAATGAAACTTTCCAAAACCCGCTGGATTTGAAAAGTTCAGAATATTTCTCTCTAAATAAGGGAACACCCTGATTACGTGTTCTGTGCATTTTAATACACTTCTATGTTCTGCAATCTCATTTCAGAAACTGAAAGCAACAAGTTGGCACACGGCAAGGAAAGGCTGGGAGTGAATGCAGTAACAACCTCAGAGACAGGGCAGCGTTCAGCCCCTTTGACCATAGCTTAGGATTCTTAATTTCATATATTTCAAGTAAATTAGAGCTTCTCAAGACATCAGACATGAGCAAATACCAGATCCCTGTGATTTTTAAGAGGAGCACCAATCCAATACAGCTGTATTTTATTTTATCATCATTATGTTCAGCCATGGGGATGGAGATCAAGTGCATTCCAGTCAAAGATAAGTGTTGTGCCGATGTAAAAAGTCAACGATTAGCCTGAGAGACAGTCAGGTTAAATTAAACATGAGTTTCAAAACAATGAAATTATATACCTTGATTTAAAGCTGTCAGGTGGCATCAGTTCCAGTGTATGTGCTGGTCCATACAGATTAACTACAAACAGCTTTATCGTTGGGTTTGTTTGACCTGCCTTTGAAAAAAAGAAAATAGGAGCTTTAGGGGCACTGAATCAGTGACAGCTAAACAGAACCACTCATTAACATAATTCAGTATCTTTATAATAATGAGAAATTACTACAATTTAAAAATCTTAAATTTTAAAAAATAATTTCACAGCCATATGAATTACACAGATAAAAATATGAAGTATTAATTGAGTAATCCTCTCACTGCCTTTACTGATGGCAGACCTTCCTGTGCAGAGCAAGGGACCAACACTGGAAGTGCTTTGGCCCAGTTCAGTAAAGTCAGCTGCAAAAAACACAGCCAGTTCCTAAACCAGCAGTTAAAGCCAGCCTCCAGCAAAGTCTTTTCCACACACTATTGTTCCTCCTTCCAAAAAGCTGTCCTATATCTGGGATAATATTCCTCCTCTTTCTTTACCATTTTCCCCCAGCCTTCCTTCCCTGGTTTGCTGAGATGGAAACGTCTATTTTTGGCCCTGTTCAGGACCCAGCTGCTTTGGCAGGCCAGCTCTAAGAAAAACAAAATGCTTCTTGCTGCTAAAGGGGAATAAAATGGCAGTTTATACAAAATCCACAAAATGGCAGTTTGATACAAATCCACTGGGAAGGGCGTGATAAATCCTGAGGATCTAGAGGGAGGTGGGACTCATCTTCCTCCCGGTAACACGGCTCGTTAGTAAGGGAGGTTCCTGAGACGAAGAGAAAGGACTGGCGATAAAAGGCAAGGCTCTGCAGGGCTGGCAGGGAGATGCTACTAGTCCCATCTCCCTGTCCTAGCCATATCATATTCAAGCTTCTTTTTCATGTAAATCACAGGAGTCACACACACTATATAGCGCCCTTGGGATATGTGGGATGAAAAGTCTGTTTCTCAGTGGGGGCTGACTCCTGTTTAATATTGGAAGGACAAGGTAAAATCACTGATTCTACAGATTTAATCATAATAAACTACAAAGTTGTATATCTGGCTCTTCACAGGGGTATTTAGAAATGCAAAATAGCTTGGCTGAAATACACCCACAAATTCCCTTTAGAAATTGGACTTATCTCAAAATATAGTCTGAGTGGTATGGGGGACAAGAAAATGGTATTTGTGGTTTTTTACTAGTGCTAAAAAAAGTTTTGAAAATGGATTTAATTAGACTCCTGGAATTTTTTTTTTTTCCCCCATAAAAACTTTTGCATTTGCCTCAAAAGAAATGTGGTCTTTCAAAGGCATCCTTTGCATGAACACAGCTTACACAAATGCAAAACTGTGGAAGAAAACCACTGAAAGATCAAGTCCTTAGGACACAACTGCAGTCTCCTTGTATCCTTTGAACCCTACATTGACTGCATAGTGGTATCCACGTACTCTCACTGGGAGGGCTGCCATGAGTGATTACCATCCAGCATGAGTATGAGTTGTAGAGAGACGCTCTAAAGCACGCCTTCACAGTGGGCATGGCCAGATCTGTGCTAGCCCCTGAACTTGGAGCGCGGAAGAACAGCACGACGCCAGCTCTGCCATCACCAGCCCTGCTCTGGATGCGGCAGAGGCGTCTGTGGCACGGCACCGCCCAACGTGGGCTTCCAGCCTGAGCTGGTCTCCGTTCAGGGCTGTACTGCCCCAACGTACTGTCTCTGCTACAAATAGCCACGGTGTGCCCTACTCTGCTGCGTAGATACGTCTGAGCTACAGCTCTACAGCAGTGGCTTCTAGCTCGATACAAGGTCTGTCCCTGCAGCTGGGGAGGTGCTGTGGTCAGTGGGGCGAACACCGAGCGCTCCTGCAGCCTGCAGTGGACTCGGGCAGATGAAGGTGGTTTTTCTACCCGAGTAGAAAAGTCT